AAAGCTTATGCCCAAATAAATTTGTTAGTCTCTAAGGTGCCACAAGGACTCCTCGTTGTTTTTACAGTTCAGTGTGTCCCTGTATGTTTCTTAGATATTGAACTAAAGAGCTGTATTACCCGCTGGACTGAATCCCTATCCATGGGTAGGGTTACAGCACAGAAACTATAAACAATTGCTTACAGTTATTGCATACAAAGGATGATTGTATCCATATAAACACAGTTCATATGGTGCAGTAACTAGCCCATGCATTTTAGGTGTTATAAAATGATATAAAATATATTACTTCTGTCATATATATTCCTTATACACTGGAGTAATATTGCTTGTTTATGGATCATAATGATAGCATGTAGACTTGTGATAATTAGGATTATATATGACAGAAGTAATATATTGCAATATGTAAGTTAGGTGTTAAAATAGTGCACTCTGTTCTTGGCCTGAATTCCCCCCCCCCCCCCACCTTTCATAGTGGTATGAACATAACATCGAGAAAATAAACCAATCATTTGTGGCATCTGATTATGTGAGAAGCATGTAGATAATGTCCATGGTGCAGTATGCACATTGATTACTGGCCAGGTTAGTCTGGCCAGGGTTTGCATGTAGATGAAGGGGTAAACCCTCTCTATAATCCCTGCTTTGTTGACAGCTGCTCTGTTTATTTTGGAACAAGGGCATCAGTTGCTAGCAAGTGTCACAGGAGAGCTTGCTGCATGAATGAACCAGGAAGAAGAAGAGCTGCTTCAGAGAGAGGATCCCAGCCGCGCTTTCTCCTCCTGCAGCTCTGAAGTGTGGGAGGGAGACACACACACACAAAGAGAGAGAGACAGAAATCCCAGGTCTTGGGGAGATGAGAAGCAGAAGCAACTCTGGAGTCCGCTTGGATGGCTATGCCCGACTGGTTCAACAGACCATTTTATGTCACCAGGTGAGTGCAGAGTCAGCGCAGAGAAGAGTGGGACCCTTACACTCCTTCACCAACCCTGTTGGGCCTTTATTTTGAGGGAGTTTTTTCTCTCTTATTAATGTTTTTTTTTTAATCTTACTCATTTTTTCAGTCGGCTCTGTGGGATTCCTGATATGAATTCAGCGGACTGGTTAATTGCTTAGCGGACATGACCGTACAGGTTTGGGGCAGATCCAAGAGCAGCCCATGCTTTTGGAGTATGTGTGTGGAGCTCATTGTTGTATGGAGTGGAGTATGTTGGTTCAGCATGTTGCAATAGGGAGCAGAGTATGTTTGTACAATCTGTTATTCTAGGAAATAGAGTGTTTGTGGAGAGTTATGCTATGAAGTATTTCTTATAATGTGGTATGGTATGAGGTGGAGTTTATTGTACAAAGTAAGTGGAGTATTAGTTTAGGAAGAGAATAGAGAGAGGTGCACTGAGGCAGTGCTACAGATAAATATCCTGTACTGTATTCATTCTATAATGTGGATATTGGACATGCAGCATTCATAACCATAGAAAAATATTGTCTCTCTAAAGTAAATGGTGGCTTCTTTTCGTTTTGAGTGGGCATCAAGTAAAATTAGTCACTGTAACTCGACAAGGATACTTAGTAGCTGATTATACAAGACGTGAAAAAGCATGTCCATTGTATGTGGAAACCCAGTGAGTTCTTAACCACCAACAATGACGTTAAAATAACATTTATGTTCAATGGCTTGCCTTCACTCTCAGATATGTGAGCTTGCATCGTTGTGTATCTTTTGAAACTGGTGAACGTAGGCATAATGGTGACTTCTCATCTCCCCAAGTATCTTTTGAAACTGGTGAACGTAGGCATAATGGTGACTTTTCATTTATCTGAAAGTAAGACTGAATCCGAAATAGAGCTGGTTCAGTTGCCAGCAAACATAATTTGTTTAGTACGTGTCTATTGCAATACACTTCATACCAGAATCTTTGGACTGATTCTCCTCTCAGTTACACTGAAAATCTACAATCACTATGTTAACTTTAGTGGAGTGACTTCAGATTTATATCGTACTGTAACTCAGATCAGACTCTGACCCCTTGTTGTGTGGCTTGGATACATAAATAGTAAAAGAATGACCCTGTCAAGGCTGGTAGGCAAAAAATGTGACCTACTAGATATGTTTTTGCTCATGGACATGCATAAACACCTACCATAGTGTTCTCCATTTGCTCAGCTCATCATTTTCATCCTTAAGAACAGACATAAGGTGCAGAAAAGTTACAGTGTCCTTGAGATGGTGTGGTTCAATTAAAATAGTTCAGCATATAAAGATGAGAGCAAGGAATTTTTTCCATGAGTCAGTTTCCAAATATACTTATTACTAAGCACTGAAAGAGGCTGCAAGGCAGTGGAGGAGGGTGTTACAGACCCAAACCTGCTCCCGCTGAAGTCAATAGGAGTTTTGCCATTTCGTATATTTGTGAATTACTGTGTTTGGATAGTATTTGTTATAAGCAAAACAGAAATCTAATAAAAAGGAATGATATATTTAGTGTATACTGGGGTAGATTATTGGTTTTATTCTGATTTATACTAGCTGACCTATAATCTTCAAATCACACATTACATTTTTTGTGCAAAATATAAGTGAAGAACTCTTTCTTTTCTATGGAACGGTCAATATTGAGAAGAGTTTGATCTTTAAAAAGAAAAGCCAATTTCCCTTTAGACACTGATCATCTGATCAGAGGGAAAATTGTTATCAAAGCAGTGCTTGTACGCACGTGAACAGTAAAATGGGTGCCATTATTTCTTTACAGGCTTGAAAAGTACACTTTTCATAACAGCAGTACATTTAAAAAGAAAGTATTGTTCACTTACCTAAGGGGATTCAGTGCTTTCTTTGAGAAACATGATGTTCAGGAATTAGTTTCTAGGATAAAAATCCAGTGCTAAGCATTTAGCATGCTAGGCATTTTGAAAAACAAGTATCGTAGTAGTAGTAGTAGTAGTTGTTTTGTTTTTATTTACGTTCATATTACACAAAGACAGATCTCTTTTAAAAGCAAAATTAATTTAGAAAATATGTGTTCTGAGCCAGGCCTACATTCCAAATGCTGGCTGTCATCCTGCCCAGAGGTGTGCACAGGGGGACCCCCTGTGTCTGCATGGAGCCACATTGAAGTCAGAGCTCCTTGCAGGACTGGTGCCATAGTGAACATTCTATTTTCTACTAACATATATGACCCTCGCAGTGTATAGACATCTCTGTGATAGGTGCTTTAGAAATGCAGGTGGATAGATTAGATTTAAGTCCTTAATTTGAATTAATATGATGGAGAAGGTGTAGCTATGATCATATATTAGTTGATGATGAGGAAAATCCAGTGGGGAAAATGTTCAATATGTCTCCTCCATGTGCAATATCATTATTCTTCTGACACAGTTATTTTATTTCTATAACAATTTTTATTTAAAGATTATTACACTATATTATTTATACCCTCTATAGCCCAATGTACAGAAGAATAATGACTCAACTATTTTATTTCACTCATCGATTTAGGTTGGGTTTTTTTGCATTTTTTGTGTTTTATCCAATGTCAATATCCATTTTATGGACAAATTTTTAAGTTTTTCTTTTTTAAAAAAGTATTACATGGGGTACTTAAGGAGAAAAGAATATGTAGCTAAAATAGAAACCACTTCTGACTATCTTATTTTTTTATCAGCTGACATTTAGTGGTCACAAAAATACATTACATTCAACTTCATACAGTCAAACCCAGCTGGAGTTTCGTGAAGGTCTGACTTTAATATCAGTGCTCTGCTAGATCAAAGCAGAGGTTATATAAGCCAATGTGTTCACTAAAATATGCTCTGAGTGCAACTCTGATCTCAGTTATCCCAATTTAATTCTGTAGTCGCTCCAGTGTAGTAAATGAAATTACTCCATTTTTACACCAGTGACAGTGATATCGGAATCTGATCTTTTTTTAGTAGATTCTTGTTTCTTGTTTCCGGACAAATAGATGTAATGAAATGCAAATATATTAAATAGAAAGAGACACAGCACACACAATTAAGTAACAATTTAAGGCCTCAGTCTGGCAATCAGATCTCTGCAACAGAGCCTTCTGTCCTTGCAGAATCCCATTGACTTCAGTGGGGTACCTTGGCACATGGATTTGCTCAGGCAGATCTCATTGGGAGGCCCCCATCCTACAAACTAAATTAAATTTTATAATCACATGGTGGGCCTAATGTTACACGGTGCCCTGGCATTCTTTTGATATCCATGGGAGTTGAGCATACCCAGTACCTCATAGTTCACACTCAGTATCTTGCAGGGGTGGACTCTTTGTATACTAGCAGGGAGTAGCTGAAAAAAAAATCCTAATTTTTAAGAGTAAGCATTTTATGAAGCAAACTTTTAAAAATATTAGTCAGTTAATGTTTCTTCCTGTGAATTGATGGTACCATAATGCTACAGAATTACCTTTGTTTATGATGTTTCACAAAAGGCCTGATCCAATGTCCATTAAAGTCCAGAGTGGACTTCACTTTTCGATCAAGTCCAGAGTGTCTAGGTTAAGTCCCTCTGATTCTAATGTAGAGGGGGAGAAGGGATTACCTCTAGACCAGTGCTTCTCAAAGCTGGTCCGCCGCTTGTTCAGGGGGGCTGCGGGACGGGCGGCCAGCACATCCCTCGGCCCGTGCCGCTTCCCGCAGCTCCCATTGGCCTGGAGCAGCGAACTGCGGCCAGTGGGAGCCGCGATCGGCCGAACCTGCGGTCGTGGCAGGTAAACAAAACTGGCCCGGACCGCCAGGGGCTTTCCCTGAACGAGCGGCGGCCCGACTTTGAGAAGCACTGATCTAGATCTTGTATGTTTTCTTAACATGGCACCTTTTAAAACTTTGAAAGCAGGCAGGTCCCTGGTAGTTGATGGGTCTCCCAGTGTCTTGTGTGAACATTGACATTTTTGGAGGAACAATCTTAGTGCCGTTTAGAATTTTCCATTGCACAACTGGTACCAGGCCCAGAATGTAGCTGCTAGGGGGCTTGCTGTGCAATCTCTGCAGTGCTAGAATTACAGCCACATAGACTTTCTTTGTACTGCAAGTGAGGGATGAACAAAAAAAGACTGTGCAAAATAGCTAGAAATATGAGATTTGCCTTTGAGGCTCACCCTTCTCCCTATTCTAATTAACTTAGACTGCAAGTGGCTTCTGCTGAATCGTATTTTTTTTTCTGTTCTGCTCTTGTTTTTTTTCCAATTTGGAAATGTTTTGAGCAGTTAATCCCTGTTTAGGCATTTAAGTGACAGCTTTATGAATGGAATATTCCAAATAGCATCAGAGAGATTATTCAGCACTCATCCAATCTCTATTATTTGAACTATAAACTCTTTGGGACAGAGACCGTCTCCACAATGTAGATGTTTATACAGTCTATGTGAGTATGCTGTGTGGCACTGATCCCTGATTTAGGCCACTGAATACAACTTTATTCTAATAATAAATGAAAATACTGATTATACCAGTAATGTTTACCTGGCTGCCACCCGTGTCTTCATTCAAATAATTCCTAAAAAGCCTACGAGAAGACAGGCGATGTTTCCTCCCCCACAAAACTACCTCTTCCCAGAAAATAAGGTTATATAAACATTTAACTGAACCAGCATATGCCAATAATGAGTCAGTGTCTGATTCTGTTATTTGTAACCCTTGTCCTTCTGCACACCAGTCTCAACCCCTGTTTGTTGCTCTCACTAGGGCTTGGTTCTGCACCACAGACATCAGTGGTGCAGGGTCAGGCACTAAATACATGATAAGTTCTTTGAGCTGGGGACCTTCTCTTTTTATTTGTTCTCAATATTGCTAGGTCAGTAGGTGAATCATATGCTCTTGGATGGGATGAGAACCACTCAGCTGTATGTCATAGCCTCTATGCTACTAGCAGTCAAAGGAGATTCTCCTTTACCTCAAGTTTTGGCAGTCTGGTGGGTAGATCAAGGTTGTATGCCACTGTGAATTTTTGAGTGTCCATTGTCTAAGTGCAGGTAAGAGTATGAAGTCTTGTGTGGCCCTGTGTTTCTTACATCATCATTTGGGGGAGGGATAGCTCAGTGGTTTGAGCATTGGCCTGCTAAACCCAGGGTTGTGAGTTCAATCCTTGAGGGGGCCACTTAGGTATCTGGGGCAAAATCAGTACTTGGTCCTGCTAGTGAAGGCAGGGGGCTGACTCGATGACCTTTCAAGGTCCCTTCCAGTTCTCGGAGATGAGATATCACCATTAATTATTATAATTATATGGAAAGTGCTGCTGCAGTTAAATAAGATGACTTTTCAGGTGAATAGTGTGTGCTCTTCTGGTTTTCTTTTCTTTACCATTAGAATCCAGTTACTGGACTGCTTTCGGCCAGCACGGAGGAAAAGGATGCTTGGGTCCGGGACAATGTCTACAGCATCCTGGCTGTGTGGGGTCTGGGAATGGCTTATCGGAAGAATGCAGACCGGGATGAGGATAAGGCAAAAGCCTATGAACTTGAGCAGGTATGTCTAAATATTACATGTAGTAAATTTATTGTTTATCATCTCACAGCTTTTCTTTCATGTGATGCTGATTATTATTTTATGCTGTATTTATAATGCTCCTGTGGCCAGGATATACAAGGGCTTCCAGACACATAGAGTCTGGGCTGGTGCTGGCACTTTCCATCTGTTTCTCTTGGGTACTTATCTAGCCCATGTTACAATAGTATCTGAGCAGCTCACAATGTCTAAGGTGTTTGTCCTCACAACACCCCTGTGAGATAGGGAAGTGCTGTTATCCCCATTGTACAGGTGGGGAACTAAGGCACAGAGAGACTAAGGGTCTCATGGGAAGTCTGTGGTGCAGCAGGAAATTGAACCTTGGTCTCCCAATTCCCAGGCTAGCACCCTAGCCACTGGACCATCCTTTCTCTCTAAACAATTTATAATCTAAGGTCCCAATCCTCCAAACACCCACATGGTTAACTCTAAGCAGTCCCATTAAAGTCAGAATCAATGCACCTAAGCATTTTCAAGATCAGGGTCTAAGAAGGCAAAACATGAGGGTGGCCATGGGGGGAGGAGACAATGTACAAGAAAAGCCATGAGAGTGATAATTGGCACATGTGTTGTTAGTTCCATTGTCTTAAAATTGTAGTATTAATGATTTTATTATTATTATTCATATGGGGAGGGTTGAGGTAAAGGGATGGCAAGAAGAGTGGCTTAATAGGAGCAGTGGGGTGGTCCGGGGTAGGAAGGGATGGAGATTACAGAGGGCTGACAGAGCAGGACTAGCTTTGAAGGGACAGTGAGGGAGAGAAGCAGCATGAGGTTAGGGGAAGAGCCATAAAGTTGATTCTTCCCACTTGGAGACCCTGTTCAATTCTCCCACTCCATATAGTTGGGAGGATGGGTTTGTCCAGTGGGCATTTCTGTAGTGTCCTCTTGCAATTTTGGAGGCAATTGATGAATTTAATGCTTGACTTTAATCACCAACCCATGGTTGCCTTGGAAACCTACTATGGGAGAAATAGTCCAGACTCAGTAATGTGTATTGTCTCTTTGTATTCTGAGGCCATTGCATAACTTCTCAAAATATTCTTGTTTCGGGTACAAAGATGTGCTTAATTACTGGATTTAGGGGAAAATCCTACTGTCACACTGGTGTTGTATTCTGTAATTAGATTTCACCAAGCCAGTGACAAATGTGAACTCCTGGATCACTGTAACAGTCTTACCATGGAGTCACAGACAGTTCCCTGAGACTCTCCAGCCTATCTTGCCACCCAGACAAACTGGACTTTGTGATAAAATGGATACTTACACCAAAAATCACACCACATTTAAGTTGCTTCCCAAGAGACTAGTCACTTACCCCAGATCAATTGGTACTCTAGATCTTGCACCAAAGAAATGCTGGCAGCCAGTTCTATAATAAACTAACTAAAGGTTTATTAACTAAGAAAAGGAAATGAGTTATTGAGAAGTTAAAGCAGGTTAAATATATGCACTGGTGAATCACAGTTCGTAATTCCAAATGTTGGCAGTGATGTAGTAAACTGCCAGTTTCGCAATTTTGTAATAAACTGCCAGTTTCAGGGTACCCAGATTGTCTCTGGGGATCTCTGCTTTGCATCTGCTTCCCTGTAAGAGTCTAAACAGTCCAGAGATTCAGGATCTTTCCTTGAGTCCATACTTCTAGCTTCTTCTTACAAAAAACAAGCTTACAGTGTCACTACCCATGTGGGCTTTTCCTTTGATGACGAAGAGAGAGGAATGCATTTTGAGTCTTTGACCTCCGATCATCACACACAATGACCATTTGCTTTGAAATTAGCACTTTTCTATTTAAGTTCTTCATTTGCATCCAACAAGGCATCTTTCTCCTTTGATGGGTTATTTAGTTGCAGGGGTGTACACAATCTTAATGTTTGCTATTACATTATAATGGGATACAGATAAGTGAAAACAATGCAAGTAACATCCCATTAGTTTTCATGAAGTTTAAACACCAAATACACTCTTATACATTTAACAGTGAGGTGAGAATATCATATTTTTTTCAAGTGACCACATATTAGTTTCCCCAAAAAGCACATTCAGGGCAAAAATCTAGAAAAGAAAACACACGTAAATATATTTCTTTAAAAGTATTTCAGGATGTTCATGTTCACACTCATGGCAGGCCAGTAGTAGAGACCCTGAGCCTTGTCTAATACTGGTAAGTGGACTGGCGACTTTAGACTTTAATTATTCTGTTTTATTCTTACAGAATGTTGTGAAACTGATGCGGGGACTTTTGCAATGTATGATGAGACAGGTAATCTAATAATCCAGGAGTATTTACTCAGTTGCAAGGTCAGATCTGGTGTTTTAACATCAATTTGCGCATGAAAGGGAGAGATTAATTGTGAGAATATGGTATCCCAGATTGAAGGAGTGATTGAAATTCCCAAGACCAGTGGTTCTCTGGAATCCTTTTTTTATGATAAAGAATGCATCCCTTTGACACCTTCCTTAGCCTCATAGATTTGAAACAAATGGCAATACATGCTTTATTAAAATTAAGTAACCGCTCATATAAATGTATTGCATATGAGGAAATACATTTATACCATGCATATCTGTGGACAAGTGCTTGTTATATTTACAAAGCATTTCATTTCAGAGCAGATATTTCTTTTCTTTTATCTGAGACTTCAATTGATTGATTTGTGTGTGTACAGATGTGGGTGTAAGTATTTGAACCTGTGCAATTGCTATGAGCAAAACTCTGCTCTGTTATACTTTTATGACTGGTCACACCTATGACAAATTGCATTTATATCATTTAAATAAATTGCACAGCTGTAACTAAGGCCTCAACTCAGCAAGGCACTTAAGCACATTCTTAAGTGCTTTGCTGAATTGGAGCATATAAGAGTAAGATAACAAAAATCATATTATTTCCTATTCTTGGAGCATGTCCGTTCTTGACTGAAAAGCCTCTTGCAAAGTTTTTTTACTTTAAAATCCTGTGTGTTCTTTTTAGATGGATAAAGTAGAGAAGTTCAAATACACACAGAGTACCAAGGACTGCTTGCATGCCAAATATAATTCAGCCACTTGTGCCACAGTAGTAGGAGATGACCAGTGGGGACATCTACAAGTAGATGCAACTTCCCTTTACCTGCTCTTCCTAGCACAGATGACTGCATCAGGTAAGCAGAAGATGTTTTAGCTGTGATCATTGGTGCAGATTTTTTTGTTAAGTTAAAATGTTGTAACTACCTTCCATCAGAACAGCACAAATAAGTAATTAAAGTTTAATAATGTGAAAATCTGCCTTTCTTCTACAAAATGGAGTATACTAAAAAAATCACCAAAACATATACTTGGAAGAAGCAGCCCTTTGTTATCAGAACTCCATAACTATGTTCTGATTGCCCCCTCTTTCAAATACAAGAGGACAGGATGTGACTACCTATGGGTGTATGTTAGCATTGCTACTGATTGACCAGAGGGTTTTCTCCACTTCTCTATGTACAATGGGAGCACTGTCTCTGTTTTATTATCACAAGATCTTTTAAGAATAAAGAGAAATCTGGGCTGCCTCTTGGGTTTTGTGCATAATACTCTGCATAATGGTTTGAATGGGTTTCCCTGGCTCTACTTTTGCTTGTGAACCTCATGTCGCCTTTTTCTTCATGGGGGCACTCACAAATATCAGCACTTTCCTTTAAGTGCATTACCAGAGAGGATTTGCAGAGGAGTATCTTCCATAAATGAGATGGCAGTTGTATCATTTATCTAGCTGTGCAATGAAAGCAGTTATTGCTTAAACATTGTTCCTAATTAAATATTTAAATGCCCCATGGCAAAATGCCAGAAAAAATAAGGCCGTGATTTACAGCAATCAACAGTGAGCCTCAAGTCTGGTTATTGAGAGTAGGATTCCCAGCCTGAAATGTCCAAGCCAGTCTGAGTCCTGAAGGTACATGCCGGTAGGAAAGCAGATGAGCTATCACTCTGTATGGAGTTGCTTCAAAAATGAAAACTTGCCTCCCATGGCTGCCTTCCCTCTAAATCCACCCCCCCCCCCCCCGGCATGCGTAATATTGTAGAGGTGAAGTGGGGGCTGATACAGTGAGCTGTAACAGAATATCTATTTCCTTTTGGTGCCACACATATGGCTCCTTGATAACTGGCAGGAAAATATCTCATACTCCTGGGATGGAATAAAATATGGTAGATAGAATATGTGAGCAGGGAGTACTACATTTAAAAGTTCTTTGCACTTACAGGGATGTAACGTCTCTGTGAAAAGAGATCTGGATCAGTTGAGACTCGGGTTTATTAAGAAAACAATCACTTGAAGGGCAGTTTCAGTAAAGCTGCTCATGGAGGTGCAAAGCACATAGCGTATCCTGGATCATATAAGTCCGTTGTGCCTGTGAAGGGTAGATGGTAGTTCCACTGCTGCCCTGCCGAGAGCTTAGGGTGGGCTCCATTTTGGATCAGTTGTTGGTAGCCTAATCATGTTCATTTAGTAACTCTCTGAATGCCAGCTGTCCTGACCATGGTTCCCTGCTCACTGGCATCATGTTGTTTGAGTGCTTTACAGATGCCACCCACCATGTGGTCCTCTGGTACCTTCTATCCTCAGGGTCCCTTGCAACTGTCTTCCCCTGCAAAAGTGGGTGTCAAACCTTCCGGCACTCACCCGGTGTGTGAATGTGGCCCTGAGAGTTTTATATTTTGATGAGTCTTCGAAACAAAGAATATGTATTAGTGGCCTTTGAAGTGCTATCTCAACTGCAGCTATTATAGGGATCTTTCCACTGATTTCAGCAGGCATTGGTTGCTAGTGAATAAAATGAAAATTTGGAACTCATTTTCTGTCAAACATTTCAATTTTTGTGTAGGAATGTAATTTTTTTGTTCTCTTTTTAATCAGGATTGCATATTGTATTCACCCTTGATGAAGTTGCCTTTATACAGAATCTTGTTTTTTACATAGAAGCTGCCTATAAAGTCGCTGTAAGTATTTAGTTTATATATAAACAATTTGAGTACTTCCTAGGAACTGACTGAACAGAATTTCTTATTTCTCTGCTGGGAAGGAATATATTCTGACTGAAGGGTGGGGCTGAAGCAGCAAATCTGATTATAAAATTTCATAGCTGATTTATACAGTAATTCAAACAGCATTCCCAATGCTTGAAACTTGCTGCTCTGAATAAGCAGGAAAACAAGACAAAGTGGGGACCTGAAATGATTAAAGTTTAAGGATAGGTTCTTTCAGAAGAACTTCTTCAACCCAAGTTCAGTCATTTAAAAGGTTCATTTACCACATATATAGCCTGAACTTGCTTGAGTTAAGAAAGGCTCTGAAGTCTGGATCTCACTCAGTGCACATGAGTGAAATTACCTCATTAGAAAGAATTGCAGCTGTTTGAGATGATATCCAAATTTGCTTTGATAAACCATTTAACCTATCATATTGTTTAAAAGAGAAATATACAAGAACAAAGGTACCCAGACTGACCTTGAAGGAAGTGCAAGTTAATAGGCCAAACTGTGCTCTCCCATACACTCTTGAATGCCTAATGGGTCTGATTTGCCACTCTGGAATAGCCCTTTTCTTTGTGTGTAGCACCACTGAAACCAATGGGGGTCCATGGCCACTGTTCTCTGAAAGTAGAGATTTCTGTATCATATCGAAATTTGAAGTAAGATTTGGTTTTGTTTCTTGGTACTTATTGTCCCAATTTTGTCATTTTAAAAAAAATCATTCTTTGTGGGGGGAAAAAAGAAAAAAAATTGCCAAGTTGTTTTTAAGGAGGGAGTAGTGATATGAAGGGATTGGGAGAAGGTATATGGGGTGGGAGTTGCCTTCTTTGCTTTGACTTTCCTCCTCTATCAGGAAACTAGTACATGACTAAGGCCCCAATCCTGCTGAGATTTACTTGCATGAGATTTACTTGAAGCATGTAAGAGGTCCCATTGAATTCAAAGTTAAGCATGAGTAAGCCTTTGCAGGATCAGATCCTAACTCCATCAATAGATAGGTCCTTCCAATGGTGTTGTTGGGTTGTGTTTTTTTAAACTCGGCTGTTTTTTCTTCTTTTTGTTTCAGGACTATGGAATATGGGAACGTGGTGATAAAACCAATCAGGGCATCCCTGAACTGAATGCAAGCTCTATAGGCATGGCCAAGGTGAGAATATTTTTACTGGTTTGTTCTTCATATGTAGAATTAGAACGGTGACTCTCTAACATGTTTGTTTGCCTCACTGTTTTGGTTCATCTGACCTGGTGGTTGCTAATTGATTACATCAGAATATGTATTTTAGTGGAGATCGAACATAAATCTCAATGTCATTTTAGTCCTTTTGTGCCTTAGTTCTAGTCTCTGAAGCCTGGATATGTCTCTTTCTGGAGGGGGCTACGAATCTTTCAGAGATATAGCTAGATGTACCAGCATAAAGTGCTTGCTCTCTCTTGGTATTAAGTATGCTGCTTCCATGGTGCTTTCAAGTCCAAAGGAAGTTCTGGAAAAGTAACCGAATGCTTGGTTAAGGAGTTAAATAAAAATAGTTTGGAGAGGAAATGAATAATAGAGGTATAAGGCAGGCATTGTGAATGCCTCTGTCTCACAGTGCAAGGACAAAGAGACATTCAGTGACATTGAAAGGCAACAAACTTAAAACTGACAATCCGCTTTTTTACACAGTGCCTAATTAATCTGTGGAACTCACTGCCACCAAATAACTTGAGGCCAAGAGCCTAGTAGGTTTCCAAAATGGATTATAAGGAGCCCTATAAGTAGAGTTCAAAAAAAGGATTTATATGGATACTGAGACATCTGCAGACACATTAGATAGTAAGAGGGAGAATTCTGCATGCTCTCACTGTAGACCAACCAAATGTTGATGGGAGTTGAATTAAGCTTGCTCCATAATTGTCTTGTGCCTTCCTTTGAAAAATCTGTACTGACCACTGTCAGTACTGAAGAGAGCGCTGTGCAGTATATCCCTGCTGGGAGTGAGATATCTGGCTGATGTTGCACTGCAGGAGGAAAAATGCATGTTTGCTTTTAGCTAAAAAATCTTCTGTGTTTGCATGTGTGGGGGAGCAAAGCAACCCGCTGCTAAACAAAAGGAAATTTGGTTTTCTTCGTTCAATACATTTACTCTCTTTCACTACAAATACACTAGGTAAGAAAGGGAAATGCGAAGTGGAGGATAACTATTCCCATGGCAGCAGTGCAGCATGGATCATGGTTTCTTGATGGGCTCTGTACATGCTTGCTCGCCTTCAAGTCTCCCCTGGGTCCAGCTGTAAATTCCCCTACAGGAAATTCTTGTCAGCAAACACTATACAGCAGACCAGTAGAGAGATGCTATTCATAGTTTCAGAGCTTGGCAATAACACTGCTGATATTAGCTTTGCAGGATTTTATGTATCCAGGTCTCCAGAAAGAACAAGACAGAAAGGGTTATGTTCTCTACTTGTATGCTGCTTGTGTCAGAAATCAATTTGCACTGCAGTGAATACCTAGGGTGAAAACAGAAAAGGAGACCTATTGACCTCTGGTGTAATGCCGTTGACGTCAGCTCCAGGAGAGAGCTCTGTGAGAAGTACAGCTCTGCCAGCCTGGCTCCTGAGCTCCAGGCATCAGCTGTCTCTTTGTCCATCCCCATTGCAGGTCCGAGATCCCCACCCCGGCGGAGTTACAGATTTCACAGCCCCTTTGGTATAGATCCCTCTGTCCCCATCATCAATTTTGGAGATGCTTCAGCAGCTCCCTCAGAGGAGCCCACCTCACTGGAAATATTCCTCCTCTCCCCTGTTCCTTCTTACGACTGTAGCAGCTGAACTAGAAGGATATGATAATCCTCCCTTGGACCGAAATAGCCTCGGTTGGTTGACCTTGAGGCATGCGGTAAAGCCCATATTTTTGAATGGGCACTTCAGGAGTGGTGGGGTGTGGGATTCTTTGAGAATTTGAGAAATGGGGAGATTGGCAATATTTTCTTGATTCAGTAGAGATGGGTTGATTGTTATGCATTGCATTTTTAACTGATGGAAAGTGGGGGGAGTCATCTTACGTTTGCTTAAATCTAAATACATAAATAGGACTCTTTTCTAAAAGAGTGAGGTCAGAAGTTCCCACGTTTTCTTATCAAGTGTGTAAGAGCCCAATCCACAAGTCATTGAAGTCAATTGGCATCTTTCCGTTGTCTTGAATGGGCATTGGATCAGGCGGGAAGTGCACAAATCCGGATTGACATGTGTCTGTGTTTCTGAAGGCTGCCCTGGAAGCAATTGATGAACTAGACCTTTTTGGAGCCCATGGGGGGTGCAAGTCTGTGATTCACGTCCTTCCTGATGAAGTTGAACATTGCCAGGTAAAGAGCAGCCTTCAAGGTTTCTTTGCTATAAGGGAGCACAAACGAGCCAGTGACAAGCACCCTGCTTGTAGAAAATGTTGATTAAGCGAAACCAGAACTTTAGCATACAATTTCACACAATACACTGTGTATCCTATGTAGAGTAGGTTACCTGCCACCAATGAGTAACTTTGACCATTCCCGTTTAAATAGTTCTCATTCAATAAGTTCCCAGCTGTTTTGAACACTGATTATGGGCTCTTTTTGCATCTGACATAATCCCTTGAATGAGGCTGATTGTTTGACATATTTTGTTCTCTGTATTTTGCTCAGTCTATTCTATACTCCATGTTACCAAGGGCATCCACGTCAAAGGAGATTGATGCTGGACTCTTGTCCATTATTTCTTACCCAGCTTTTGCAGTGGAAGACGTGAACGTTGTTAATGCAACCAAAAGTGAAATCCTCACCAAACTGCAAGTAAGAGTTCTTTTTTTTTTTTTTCTTGGTCTGTTTGCTTGCGGGGAGAGGAGGTAATAAATTGAGTCGTCTTCTCCTGCCAGTTAGCTGAAAGATTGCAGGACCCGGTGGGTGTGAGTAGAAGGAAGAGGTAGCTCTTCTCTCCCCAGAAGTAATATAAAATAAAAAAGAACTTCTATTATGCAATGTCAGCTTTTTCAGGAATGTTATTTTTTCCCCACAGGGGCGTTATGGCTGCTCTCGCTTCCTTCGAGATGGATATAAAACACCAAGAGAGGTCCTACTTCTGCAGATTTTCAGTAGTCATTTTAAAGATTTTTTTTTAACCCACATTTATCAAAACTTCATGCCTGTTTTGTTTATTTTGTGCTACATAAAGTGATAGCCTGTATCATAACTAAGATTCTGCATCGTCAGGAAGAGTACACAGTGTTATACAATCCAAAGATCAACACATCCACACTGATAATGAACCCTGGCCAAAAGAGATTAGATGATAGAAAAACAATTATTAACAACAGGAAAACATAATTTGCCATTCTAATATCAAAACCAAACATATTTTTTTATTACTGGTTATGGTTCCTAAGGGGAGATAATAGCACACTCAAAATCACAACCAACAGGGAATAAAGATTAATTCCACATGCACACAGTCATCAAATAGTGGGCAGAGCAAAGGTGATCTTGATAAGATCTAGGTTTCTGGGATTGCATAGGGGTTTGGTTGAGTATGTGTGTGTACATATATGTGAGAAGAAAAGGTGATAAATGTAGGTGTGTGGCTTTATCCTGTATTTCCTTTGGTTTTAGAGGGTTTAGGTGTGACACATGTCTGTTCATATCATGTACAGAATATTAAATGAATATGATTTGATTTTTAGGATCCAAACAGGTTACACTATGATCCTGCTGAGCTCAAACTGTTTGAGAATATAGAATGTGAGTGGCCAGTATTCTGGACGTACTTCCTAATTGATGGAGTGTTTAATGGGGACAAAATTCAGGTAAGGAAGGAGCAAACTGCTTGAGTTAGGCTGGAATGGAAAAGCAGTAAGCAGTATGGCTGTTACTGTGCTTGTTTGGACTGTCCGTTATTTTTCCTTGTTTCTGAGTAAATCCCCCTGGACTACTTTCCCCACTAGATCCCAGTGTTGGCTGTTTTAGGGAAATTCCTTCCATAGTGCCTGACGAGATGGACTGTGCATGGGAGGTTCTGTGGGAAGCCAGAGGAAGGAATCCTCTCCCACCACCATGGGCAGTGAAGCAGCAATGGAGCCATTCTGCGGCTTGCTTACGGTCACAAAAACCCCTGGAGATATTTTCCAGGGGCAATGTCAAGTGGATCTGCATAGCGTGGATTCACCATTCACATCTGATACCCCTTCCCTGTCAGAGTGAGCTCCCAGCAGCCTGACCTTTTTTCCCCAGTGCTGTGCTTGGCATCTGCAAACCCGATCTATTGTGTCTACAGGCCTCTGTGCCTTAGGATTGGCCCCTGTGAAGAGCTTCTCTTCTGCTGATGGAATGAGTAGTTTAATTATCTTTCATTGTTGATTCAAGCACTCCCTCTCCAGGAGTGCCAAGTTGCCAGCCTTTTAATGATCATCATTTCAAGGAGGTGCTACAGGAAATTGTTAAATTATATAGCAACAAGTCACCCAGACCAGATTGTATCAATTCAAGAGTTTTGAAGAAACTCAAGAATTAAGAGGCTGAGGAACTAACACAAGTATGATTAAAATCACATAGTGTACAGGTGGCTGAAAGGGGGCCAAATGTTGTACTCTCATTAAAAAAGGGCACTGGGGTGATGCTGGGAATCACAGACCAGCAAACCTCATTTCAGTAGCTTGTACGTAAATGGAGTGAAAGAATAGCTAGAGAAAGAATTATGAAACACCTAGATGGCTATAGTACAATAGAAAAACACCAGCACAGCTTCTTGAGAGGAAATGCAAAATTAACCTGTGGAATTTATTGCTGCAAGATATCACTGAGGCTAAAAGCTTAATAGGATTCAAAGTAGGACTAGACACATTTGAATACCAAGAAAATAGCCACTTACCCTTATGCTTCAGGATGTAAGGCAACCACTAACTTCTTGTGGTCAAGAAGCAACTTCCCCTGCAAGCAGGTTATTGTGTAATTATCCGTTATGGAGTTTCTTGTAGTGTCTTCTGATGTTGTCCGATCTTGGCAGGAAGACCCTAGAGTAATGGATCACTGGCCTTATCCAGCATGGCAATACCTGTGTTACCAGAGCCCTAGTCATTTGAATATCTCTAAAGAAAGCTTTCCCCTGTTTTCAAAGATATTTTTTACTTGTGTTTTTATTTTCTTTTTATAGTCTTTTTATCCCCCCAGGAATTGTAGAATTTTAGATGGGTTCTACTCCGATTCAGATTCCAGTTATGAATCTCGCCAAAAGATTCTGAGAAAGTCAAAAGCTGTACAATGTATACTTCTTTTGTTTTTCTTATTTTTGAAAGTAAAAGCCAGTCAATAAACCACTGAAAAAGCTCCTTTTTTCCCTCTCTTCCCCACAACTTAATGGGGACACATCATTAATTTAAAATGGGAAGTTCAACAAAACTAGTGAATAAAATCTCAAATCAAATGCATTTTGGATCATAAAATCTTGGAAAACCTGATACAGCTGAGACTGGAAGATGTCTGAAAAGCAAAATAGATTCCCTGAATCTAAATGAAGAATGGAGGAGAATGAATCAAATGAATGCTTTGGGCACACAGGAGAGATATGGGTCAGAAACAAGTGTCTAACCATTTTGTCATTCCAGCTGCACGTTTAAAACAAGTAACCATGGTTATTCTTTGTACATAAGAGGTCACGGCATGCTTTTTAGAATGACAAATTGTATTGGCCTATTGAAAGGGAATCTAAAAATACAATTTCTTCCTTAGCGGTCCACAAGCTTTTCCATATTGTGAACCATGTTACAGCAAGAGTTACCAGATAGCAACTGTGAGAAAACGGGACAGGGGGTGGGGGGTAATAGGCGCCTATATAAGAAAAAGTCCCATAAAATGGGACTGTCCCTTTAAAAACAGTTCATCTGGTCACCCTAGTTACAGCAGAGAAAAGTTCTGAGGATCCCATATAAGCTGTAAAGAAAAGGAGCAAAGTCATGACTTTCTTGGAGGTGATTTCTCCCCCCTCCCCGGATTGAGAATTTATGCTATCACTGAACTATTATTATTTTTAAAATAAGGATTTTTTGCTCACCGATCCAGAAACTGAGTCTAGAATTTGAATCCAGGTCTTCCGTTTGGCAGCACGTTATAATCTCTTCACTGCTGTACTGTCTTGAGTCAGGCCTAGAATTATTTATAGCGGATTTATTAGCTAGTTCTAAGATTTCAGCATTGTTCTTTTCATGCTGTACAACATTAGCTTCTCTCCTCTCTTTTTAAGGCGATATGAGCTTTCTCTACCACCTCCCCCCCTTTTTTTTCTCCCCAGGTTCAAGAGTACAGAGAGGCCCTGGAGGGAATAATTATTAGAGAAAAGAATGGAATTCTTCTGATGCCAGAGTTGTATGCTGTCCCTCCAGACAAGGTATTGTGACAATGCAGCACCTCTTATAGCTTTCAAAGTGCAGATATCAAAATAAGTATCAGCATGATCATTTCCTGTAGTTAAATATAGGTTTGCAGTATGAGAAATGCCTTTGTCACTTCCTATACTTAACTAAAATGATTGTGCAGTGGCTTTGACTTTTTAAATTAAAAAAGACCTCACAGCTCCCATTGATAAGACTCTGGTAAATTTTTATGTTTCCAGATGGCTAGGTGTCTGATATGAGGGTTATGAAAGAGGCACAAAAATATGATGGAGTCCATTTTTATCTGAGTGCATGTGAACGTATTAAAGCTAAAGTAAAAAAAAATTCCAGATTAGAAATTTGTCAAAAGAAAAAAACAAGGACAATTGTTTTGCAACATTGTTGTTTTTAGTTTCTTTTTTTCTTTTTTCTTTTTTTGCCATTGCAAGGGGATAAATGTAACAAATTTGTCTACCTTGAAATGAGAACAGATCCCCTGCAAAGAAATAAAGTAACTCTGCCCTGCCTCTTATATTGTGTTTATCATCAGTGTGTTTTTTCAAAACCCTGAATGTCTGAGATAAATTCCAGATAAATCAGATTTTTTTACATTTGCAGTTAGGGATCCACCTGATCCATTTCTTGATCAACAAACCCAGCCAGCCTGAGCCCTTTGCCAGTTCGAGCTACTAACCTATCAAATTCCTTCCTGCTAGGCCAGCCTCTCCCTCCTATTCCAAAACTTCCCAATCCTCATTGACTAAGGACATTAAATCCAGTGCAGACCAGAATATTTAAAGATGAAGTGTTGACATCTCCAGTCTTCTTTACAAATCTGAAGCTAAATAAGAGTATAGATGTACCTCCCTGCCTGCTATGTGCAAGCACAGCACTGAACCTCTCTTGTGGGCTTCAGCTGGAAACAGTGTAAATCTGGTAGGGATTTCAAGAAGTCTGTAGGGTGGGCTTTGCCTAACCTCTTTTGTGTCAGATCACATCTTACAAAGCCTCTCGTATAAAAAAATTCTCTAGTATTTCCCCCTCCCTTCTCTTTCTCTCTCTCTCATCAAGTCACCATTATATTGCTCTGCAAATAAATTAATGGCCTTTTTTTAACAACAGACTTCCCCATTTCTTTCCTTGTGAAGCGTCTTTCCAAACACAGTAATGGTAGGATAGTGTGTACTTTGAGGGTGCATGTTCAGCTTTCATTCCAGGAAGCTAAGGTGGGCCTGCATCAGTAGTATACAAGGGTTACCTGGCAGGGGATTAGAAAGGAGACCCAAAATCGATTCAGAGCCATCGGGGTGGGGGGGAGGGGGAAGGAAGCAATAGGAGTGAGAAGAATAAAACATGGAAGTGTAAATGATTATATTATATTCATGTCCAAAAGTCCTGGTCAGTATGGGGGCTCTGCTGGGTTAGGCACTGTTCAAAGGTCGGCGTGCAATCTGAAAGAGCGTGCAATCTAGGAGGTAGAAGCAGGGTGGGAGGGACCAATACATCGTAACTAATGATGGCAAGTTAAAAATCTGAAAGGTGCAGATCCTTAATAGCACAAAGTATTTTGAAACATATGGTCTGCAATATCTCTTATAACCAGGTAGGGCTTATCTCTTGCTTATGTTTGTTGGCAGGTGGATGAGGAGTATGAAAATCCTCACTCAGTGGATCGTCTCCCAGGTGGAAAGTTGCCTCATCTGTGGGGCCAGTCTTTATACATCCTCAGTTCCCTATTAGCAGAGGTAATTTATCTGTAAAACCAGCGAGTTAATCTTTCAGTTCATCTTGAGATGCACTGAACTCTGAGTACTGCCCAGTCCAGCCTGCTCTCATTCAGTGTCAACTGGATGCAGTATATTTCATGGTAGAATCATATCTGTGAGTTGGCAGAAGTGGTGTTTATGTCAGTTTCTCTATCCGACTTAAATTAGTTAGAAAGTGTTTGTTCCCTTTGACCTACAGCTGACTTCATTTCAGTCCATCTCTTACCTTACATTTTCATAGAGTGAAGCAAAAAGGTATCTTTGAAAACCCAAGCATATCTTGTTTTTATATGCTACATGAAATGTCATCATTGTAAGGAAATTTTCAACTTGTGAAGCAAGCGATTTGTTATCTGGGTTTCTCCTGTGGATACAAAGAGTGTGTCAGTTAAACCATTGTTTAGTCTCCATGTATGCATGTCTCTTGTGAACTACACACATTGTACACGCTTGGTTTTCCTTGGCAGAGAACATTGCAAGGCATTCTGGGCTCAGACTAATGGGCAGGCTCCCAAACTGCTGTGAAAGTGGAAAGGGCCAGGCAGCAGGACCAAGCAGCGGACTGGCCACATCTGTTGCTGGGCTCTGCCACCAGTCTTAGAGATATGAGGAAAGTCAAGAGCTTGAGAGGGATCATAGGAAAGGGGTTGGTCACAAGGAAGGCGCTAGAGACTACTCTGGAGTGCGTGAGGCAGGGGAGACCTTTCCATAGCTTTACGTAGGCATTTCAAGTGCTTATCTAACTGTACTGAACATCCAGTCTTCTGAGATTCACCCCGTATTAGTCCTTGACTGAGCCCAATAAAGACTCAGTAAAGGGTTAACTTTCCAGTGTCAAAAAATGACAGGAGCAACCAAATAATGTGCAGGTGCTCTCGCTCTGTCATGTGAAAGGTGGGAACACAGATTGACTTCGGTCCTGGCAATAAACACCTTTCCTGCAGTTTTTTTTTTTTTAAATTAGAACTAAAGTTTTTACTGAAAATACTGCAGAGTAAATAGGGGACAGAGATGTTTTATGTTACATTTGTAGAAGTTTGACGATTATCACGAGGATCCCCTATAACTGGACTGGATGTTAAAGGCAGCTTACTTGGGTTCTTTCTTTTTCTGTTTTATCCCAGGGGTTTCTAGTTACTGGCGAAATTGATCCCTTACATAGGAGATTTTCAACTGCTTTTAAACCTGATGTTGTGGTGCAAGGTGAGTGATTTCATGTTTGTTACATTCTGGTGAAAAGATGGGCTAACGGGTGGTTCTACCCTCTCAAGAAAGAAAGGCAGAATTAAAAATAAATAAAAAAGCTCCGACTAGTGAAATGAGGGGGAAGGGGCAGGTCACTATGCAGTGATACACTGCTGGGCTTGCTCAATGTTTCTTAATTAGTGCATGGCATGTGGATACCCCGGTGATGATATCTGAGACAGAGAAACTGGGGGTGTGGGGTTTTTTATCATGTCTGCTTTTTTCATGAGGAGGCGCTTACTGCAATTTATTACTGTTTTTAAAGCTCTTTCATTAGCAGTTTAAGATTGAATTTGCCAGATTCCCAGCCCCGCATCCACTTCCTGGGGAAAAGGCAGTTCTGGGCATGCTCCAGGATGATGACAGGGCAGATCTGATAGCGTGCCAGTTGCTGTGACATATGTGAAGCTCTCTGCGCTTCCCCTAAGGAACCAAGTGTGGTGGGAGGAGAAGGAGAGCCCAAGACCATCCTAATGGCTTCCTAATGCGGGAATCCTCAAACCCAGTCACTTATTGGAGGTTGTGGATGAACTAGCTAGTACCAGGCAGGCTGCTGCTGCTGACAGGCCAGGCTTACAGCCACTACTTAAGTATGTCCAAGAGAGGCAGGGACAGAGACTTTATCCCCTGAGCGTCCCCAGTACCACTGCCAGGAACCTGCTCCTTTCCTCAGTGGGAGTAGCAGCCAGAAAGGTGAGATTAGGGGGATGTAGCAGATACCTGGCAGCAGTGTGAAGCTGATCAAGGGATAAAGGCTCTTCCACTGCCCATCTGTGCAGCCCTTGAGAAGCAGTCAGGAGCCTGGATTGTCAGGAGCAGCCTTCATCCCTCCTTCCTCCCTGCCACTTGTGACCCTAGCTTCCATCTGTCCAGTTTATCTCTGCAAATACCACAGAGCCTGTGGTTTACAGCTCTAGCTGTCCCCCAGAACTAGCTGTGGGATTGTTGCACAGATCCTGCGTGCACATCCAAACTGGCACCTTAGGGGAGGAGTGTTCTCTTACCAGTGACGGTGTCTCCTTCTGGGACTGTTTCTGTTCCTTTAGAGGAAACTTTATAGTGTTCACTTCCAGTACAGATATTCATGGTTGCAAATTTAAAATTCACTTTTTGTCAGTATTCATGAATGCAATAGTATTAACTAGCAAGTCTGTACTAGATTGTTAGATCCCGACCCAGCAAACTGACCCACATTTGCAAAACCCCACACAGAGCATTCTGCAAGATCAGGGCCTTAGATTGTAAATTCCTTGGGGTAAGGTCTTCCTCTGTATTTGTACAGCACCTATCACAACAGGGCTCTGATCCTGATAGGGCGCCTGCATGCTGCTGCTATAGAAATAATAAATAGCGTTCATAGCATATGTATCTCACTGACACAGATAAATTGGCTTACTACAGTGTCTTACAGCGACATCTTGTGGGGAGGCGGGAAGCTGAGAAATCTGGGGAAATGAAATGCCAAATGCTGTTCTGCACATTCTTGCACCCCCAGTGGTATAACTGGGGTTGGCAAATCAAGAAAGAATACAGCCTTTAGCATTTTTAGACACCCACATGGTGGGTAAATAGCAATGATGGGTGATGTCAGAGTAAAGGAGAATGAGTCTGGTTAAAATAATTCAGCTATTCTTTCTGTTGTACAGTAACTGTCTTGGCAGAATCAAATGAAATTAAGGAAATCTTGAGACACCATGAAATCAGTGTTCAGAGCATTACAGACATCTATCCAATCCGAGTGCAGCCAGCACGGATCCTGAGTCACCTTTATGCCAAGCTTGGTAGGTGCTGGAATTTAGAAGTATATGGTGGTGGTTGTGAAACCTAATTTCTTTTTCTTTTCCACTTCCCCTGCCCCCATTTCTTTCTTTTTATTTATCAGGGGGTAGCCGTGTTAGTCTGTATCCACAAAACCAACAAGGAGTCCGGTGGCACCTTAAAGACTAACAGATTTATTTGGGCATAAGCTTTCGTCGGTAAAAACCCCACTTCTTCCACTCCTCGTTGTTTCTTTTTATTTGTTTGCTTCCAGAATCGTTTTAACTTTTTATATGTTGCGTGCATGTGGTGGTGAAGTATACAGCACCTAAAGTAAAAACTAGTAATGAATATACTAATATGAATTGATGCCTTAGGTAAGGGATCTATTAGAAGAATATGTTCACTTTGTGAGCTGGCGGCCAATGTAGTGGTTTCTGTATGCTCTATTCCAATGGAGTTTCACAGACTGTCAGAAGCTGGTTCTCTGCAGGGGCTAATTCTAGGCACAGCCTGGGTTTTTGGAAAGAGCCTGAAGTTATGCATCTAAATCCCCTTGAACTTCGACCTTGGGCTCCTTTGACACTCCCTTTCAGGGGAGATTGGGGGCTTTGTAAAGCATAATAGATGCACACAAACAAATATTTCACCTGGTTCAAACCGCTCACAGATTTGCTTGGTATCGTCATGGACGTTATTTTTCAATGTTAAGTGCAGTATGAGAATGGATCAGGAATGGCAAATCCTCTCCATCACAGGCAGGGAAATTCATAGTGGGCAGTATTCAGTGCCACCCTTTCGGTATTCCCATTGGGAATCCGGCTTATAGGTAGTACGTGAGGAAACCTCAGGTGGTGGTCAGTGACCCAGATAAGCAACCCAAAATTCAGATGCTCGTTTTAAGATGTTGAGCCTTGAGCAGAGAGATAAATAAATCTCATAAAGTACACCTCTACCCCGATATAACGCAACCCGATATAACACAAATTCGGATATAACGCAGTAAAACAGCGCTCTGAGTGGCGTGTTAAGGGTGCCAGGCCAGGGCCGAGGGGTTGGATAAGGGGCAGAGGATCTCGGGGGGGGCGGTCAGGGGACGGGGAGCAGGGGGGAGCCACAGCCCGAGGAGGGGAGCTGCAGTGCAGGGGAACGTCAGACGGGCACCAGCCGGCACTGAGAAGTTGGGGAAGTTGTGGATCCAGGGCAGGGAGAGGTGCCTGTCCTAGACGGCGCCGTGCAGGTGCCCCTGTCCTGGCGCTGGAGGGCTCGGCACACAGCAGGCCTGGTTAGCAGGCTGTGCCCCGCCCGCAGCAACGCTGGATGGGCTCTCCGGGTCCATAGCACGCCACACTACCTGCCCGCAGTCAGCGGCTCCATGTGCCCTGGCGGACAGCTGGCTGCAGCGTCCTCACCGGAGATGGGCTGCGCGGGGCTCTGCGGAAGAGGAGAGACGGGCTGAGTGCGGGCACGCACGGCAGGAGCCGCCTGCTGATGGCTACCCTCCCCCCGGCACTGCCCGGGCACAGGGCGGGGACCAGGCGTACGCGGGCACCTCGGGCGAGGCTGCCTGCCCTGCTCCCCCTCGCGGGCTCAGCCGCCGTGCAGGGCTGGGCGCGCTCCATGGACAGGGCAGCGGCTGCTGGGCTGTGTGGTGCTCGCCCCAGCTGATGTGGTCGAGCAGGTGTGAGCGCTTCCGTGCGCTGACTTCCCGGGTCCTAGCGCCCGTCCCGGTGCGGCGCATGGTTCAGCGTGGGAGTCCTGGGAGTGATTAGGGACGGGGGGGTTGGATGGGTCAGGGCTTCTGAGGGGTCAGTCAGGGCGGGAAGTAGGTGGCGGTCGGATAGGGGGCGGGGTTATTTGCTGACTATTAATAACGGAGATGCTCGAGGCCAAAGCAAGTTCGATATAACGCGGTAAGATTTTTTGGCTCCCAAGGACTGCGTTATATCGGGGTAGAGGTGTATATATTTTACATAAAGAAATCACCCACACTGCTTAGGAGGAAAAAGAGGCAGGGAGGGATAAAATTAATTCTCATCTCTATCGGCAGAAGGTTGAGTAGGCTAACTTGAAGCAATGTTGTTGATGTTTTAACAATGACTGCTTTGTCAGCAATTGTAGATTATTCTCCCTCTGTGATGTGATCTACCCCCTGCTCAGCGGAAGGGGAATCATGTACTATTTTGGCATCATCGGCTCCTTCCTGACTTGTAGAGAGCTCACTCTGGGGATGGGGACTGCAGGGAAAGGAAGGTCAAGGTCTGTAATGTGTTTAATAATACACGCATCACTCCAACCCCATGATCTTTGGGAAAGCCGAAATGAAAAATGTAATACAGCTGAAGGTCCCCTTTGCTTTCCAGAAACCTCTTTCATGGGAGCCCTTAGACTAGGGGTACATGGCCGTTGAGGATCCCCTCTAGTGGAGCCATGTTATCTGAGAGCTGCATGTTGAGAGCTCTGTGAAGATGGTTCTGGCCTCCTGGTGATCCCTCCTTCCAACTCCCTTCCCTTCCAAGGATTTGAAGATCTGAGTTCAGAACCTGCTGGTTCATTCTGCAGTGGCGATCCCTCCCATCATGGGGGCGGTTTGGGGAAAGCGTGGGGGTTATGTTTGCCTGCTGCAGAGGCCAAAGACTTTAAAGGTACAAAAGGGACTTCAGCTTGGTCCCTTGGCTAGAATGAAGAATAATACCCTCCCTGATGTCACTGCACATGGTGGGCCAGATGAATGCCTGCAATGAAGAGAAGAGTGGCCATGTGTATCCCTCTGCACTCATGGGACCACTATGCCAGAATAGGAATTCATTCCAGCAGGAAGGTGGGGTGGGTTTATAGGGCTGAGCTGGCTCCCAGACGCTAGGTAGCAGTTGTGGGTGGCTTGTGTCACTGCTCCCCACCCCAGTGGTCTTTCTGCTGCTATGCTAGGGGCCTCACATCCAGATGCTTGCATGAGTTGGACTCCTGAAGTAAATCTGGCCCAGTGGATTTAATAACTTTTATTTCCTTCTCAAGAATGTATTTAATCGTCTAGCAGGTAGAGTCCATCTGTTGAAACTGGAAAACTTTTTAGGTGACATAAGGCTTCTGTAGAATTATTGAAGTGGGTGGAGTCCTCCTTCTCTGTGTGGGTAGTGTAATCTGCTGGATACAGTAGAAACAGTATCTGTTCCTGAGGCAGAATTTAAGGGCTTAATTCTGCAAAGTGCTGATCACTCGCAACTCTCATGGCTGCAGGTTCAAGCTGTCATCGAGTAGCTGGGATTTGCTTTTTCCTAAAGATGACAGATGTGCTTTGGTTATATTTGTGTCTGACTCAGCAAAAACAAAAAAGTGCTATGTGCAGTCCTGGGAAGGGCAGAGGGCATAGCTGTGAAGAGGAGGGTTCTCTTCTACACTCAATTCAGTGGTTGAATTCAGAGGAGAAGAATTAAAATTGTTGTATTGAAGACCGGGATTGCCAGCTACTTGTGATGTTTGATACAGCATGAGGTTTTCTCCATTTTTTTTTGCAAATGTACCTTATTTCATTTGGAGTGCTGCCTGTCATTCACTGTAGATGGATTTATTTGACTTCCTGACAAATCAGTGTTTGTTCATGTATAGCTTTTGTTGTTTTCCCATACAAATCTATATGGCGTTTTACCCCTGTGAACATTTGGCTAACCAGCATCAGCATGAAATGCCAGCTAGAGCTTCATAGCTTTATTGGATCAGCTGATTTCTTGTTTGATCCCTGTCTTTGTTGTACTCTTTTTAGGGCTCGTGTTCCTTTTTGTTCAGATTTTAAAAGAAATTGAGGAATGTTCTCCTCCATGTGTACATCTGCATAACTTCCTCAGTGGCATGTGACTGATTTGGTTGTTATTTTTTGTAAATACAGAATTTTTAGTGCAAAGAATTGTTATGCAGAAATAATTTGAAAAAGGAAAACATAGTTGAAACCAGGAATGTAAGTGTCACATTTGCATGTGCTATAACTTTCTTATCTTCTCATGGATCCATCACTTTAAAAAAAAAAAAAAAAATTCTACTGCTTCAGATGCTTTACAGTGAAATACTGCAATTGCGGTAATCTATTGAGAGCCAGATTTCAGAGCTCAGTTTGTGTACTCAGTGGGAGCGGCTGGTTGCTGAGTACTTTTGAAAATCTAGCCCTGAGCTCTTATAGGGGCTGATCCAAAGCCCACTGAAGTCCGTCCATGGGAGATTTTCCACTGATTTTAGAAGGCTTTTGAATCAGCTCCTAAAGAATCAGAATTGTGGTGTTATAGGATCAGATCCTATGATAGTGGGTGCGTAGAAAACTTTTAAGATAGGTGCTAACACCATAGCAGTTGGAGCTATTCTCTAATTCTGCTTATTGTACGTAACAGGTGTTCCTGACTGAAGCTTTGATGTTCACGTTTAACAGAAAATTATGTAATAGGCAGGGCCGGCTCTGGCTTTTTCGCCGCCCCAGGCGAAAAAGCCTCCGGCCGCCCCCCCCCCCCCGCGGGGGGGGG